GTTTTACATATACACACACACACACACACAATCTTTTCTCGACCTTTGCTCCTGCTTGTCCTCCTCACCCCGCTCCTCTCATCCGTTTTCATTCTCTCAGGGGAGAACGCGGCTCACGTGTTTCCACCTGCCGGTTACGTGGTCCACCGTCCAATCGGTATCGTGGATCACGAGTTCTACGCATTCTCGTACATTTTCGATCTCGCCATTAGCGTGGGTATAATTCACGATCATGCTGGCGGTGCCGTTACTGTAGGCCAATTCCGGGATGCAGCGAACCGAGGTAAGTTGAATGGATGGGAGTTGCATGTAAAGGGCTGCTTTAACTTGATTGTAGAATCCGTTTTTGGTGGGCCCTTCCGCATTTAACATTGGAGCATAGACAGCGAAGACAGTCAGGTTAAACGGTTTAACCCTGAAACGAGCTATCACAATCCTAGGAGAGATTGGTTCCCAGGCCTTGTTGGCCCGGTCGCTCACGGCCATTGCTACGCCGTGCAAACCGGAGTTGTCAGTTGGTATGCTGTGGTATAGCCGGTAGGTTGCGTCGCTATGATACGTTGATTTGTTTTGTGCCACAATTGGGCAATCGGACTTCAAGCAAGTAGCAGATGTCCACTTTGTAGTCGTACAGTGAACGCATTGTAATACATTGGCTTCCTATGTCAAGCGGTGTCCTAACATTATGGCACTCTACGTGGATGTTGAATCTGTTGTACAAATTGCTTAGGTTCCCAGCTTGCTCCTTTGTCACTCCAGTCACTGAGAGAGCGCGGACTAAGTTACTTCCCGCAAACGCCGTGCCTGAACATGATATAACAATGTAAGACGATCAACGTCCCTTTGTAAAACGATCCATCATAAAACTTAACGACGTCCCCAGCTTCGCTAGTCTCTTGATCAAGATGCGTCTCTAACCATTGTACAACAAAGTGCGACGTGCAGGGTAACAGGATAAAATAGCTGATAGCCAGTGACCATCAGAACGCCTTTCGGATGGCTCAGCGTCAGTCCAGGTGAGTTTCGGTACCTAGTGCTTATCTCATACACTACTATTTTATAACGCTTAGTGTACTGTGATTTATATGCACAGTCTGGATTCAGACGTGTGTGAAATACATACATTTTTATAATAAGTAATATGTGTATGGTCGGACAAAATTTCCCCGGAAGCACAGGACCGGTTTCGCAGTTCTTGCCGGTCGTCAGGCTGCATATATATATATATATATATATATATATATATATATATATATATATATANAAGTTCGCTCAAAACATGAATATAGTCTGTGCTTCCAATACTCCGTCGATCACTACAGTTTAACTTCTCAGAAGTAATTCTGTTCTTCCTATTTCATCTTCAAACCCAACTTACATTTCAGTCTGTTCCTCACCCAATCTGACAAAACCGTTTGAGTGCATGGATCTCTGTTATATCACCGCCTTGTTGCACGATGGATACGGATTTCCATGGACTAAACAGATTACCGTAAGCTAACCTTATTCGCATTTCACGTTACAATACATGCAGACCCGAGTAATCTGTCCCGCACAATCCTTGATATAGTTATTTGGGCCTTATCTTCATTCTTCTATCACTTTACGAGCGTACATTTGCACTACGGTGAAAAGTGACAAAGGTATGTAAACAAGTTTGATGAAACAGTATGGTACGTGAAAGAATACTGGATCAATGCTGGCTTTAAGCAACTTACAGAGATAAAACATCCGTATCAAAGCGATACTTCTTCTTCATGCTGCAATGTAACGGGTGAACAGCTTCCAAACACGAGAACTAGTATTACTCATCCACAAGGCATTGCCAGGATAGGGATTTGTTTATTAAAAGGTCACCTAGGATAAACGGTAAATGGGATTATATGGAACAAAACAATATTCTACAACGGTTGATCAGTAGTCTCACGAAAGGTTCTTGATCAGTGATCAGGAAGCTCGACAGTTTCTTTGAATTTTCTGTAGTTCCATTAATAAACCCTTGAATCGATTCACAGACACAGTTAAAACCCAACACTCACCTCTTTGTGCGCTCACCAAAGACGCTACTCATGAATGTGAGCAGTACTTTACAGCACTAGGAGACTGTGCCAAGCCCTATTGTGTTCGTGGAATGAGGCACAAAAATACTTCATTGCATCCACGTGCATTCGAAGGATGAGTGGATGATCGGATCTATCTGTTCCGGGTGATAGTCAGCTGTGAACGGAAGGATGATTTTCCAAAAAAATAAGTAAAAAGCGTCACGGTTAGCTGACTGCAACATCCCGTCAATCAAAACATCCAGGCTGTTCACATGAATCTCGATTGGACGTGCCAGAGGTGTTAGTTTCAATATTACGAAAGTCACTAATAGCCGAAGCCGAGTTCGAGCTTACGGCTCTTTGTCACCTGGGTCGGCCATAGTAAACATTCAGTGACAGATGCGCTTACATTTCGTCAAGGTTTTAGTAACGCTGTACTGCAGAATCTTTTCACCAGTGAGTAAAACGATATGAGTGGTGTTGTTCTTTGGAAGGGTAAAAAAATATGATGATTCTCTCCGTTTTATCTTAGCTGGTTTGGAGGTGTTTTCTATGATGCATTTTTAAAAAATTTTTCTTTTCTTCGATGAATTTTACACCGTCGTTTAATGGGTCATGTGGGCAATGCCGCAAGTTCAATTTTTTCATGTTGCTGGCAAATATACTTCTAATTATGTCCCATTTTCAGTCTTGATAAAAGAACACATTTTGAGTTTTTTCAAGGAGCGTGGTATTTTATAAATTGAAAACACGGCGATGAGGACATTTTGTGGTACCGACATCGTTCTGGAGCACACTCTAGTTTTTCCTTAATAAAACGGGTTGGGTTTTGACATTTTTATTCTCATGAACTAATCACAGGGTCATTTTGGCAACTAAATCTACTGTCGTACAATTTTCTCTTTGCTTTAATCGTGCTTTTTAATCGTTTGATAACCTTGAATCCAGTTTTATGGCGATCCTAACATGATGAATACAGAACCGTTTAAGACCACCAAAAGATGGTAGAAAAATCTATAGTTTGTTCAGACAGACGGCTGTTCAATCAACCTGTCGATATGCATGATTTGCGTTTCACCAGGGTTAGTCCATGTTAATACTCCAGGACGTCTCTCGTGTAGTAAATCGACCGGGACCGAAGCAAGTTGGATTCCTATATTTCGAAAGTCCACAACACTGGAATTTGTCAACGAAAATGGAACCACAACTCTATGGGGCGTCACCACATATGTCCGGATGCAATAGGCTGGAGACGGGTTTATATTGTCACCGGTTTATCCTTGCTGAAACGCGGCCGTATATGGAGTGGCGTTTTTCGTGAGATTCGCGTCTTTTTTAAATTCCAAATTTTTATGTGCAAAAAACCGCGATTTGTTTTACATTCGCTCACATTGCTCGAGAATTGTTGCCAATGTTTCCCGGGAGGTGAAGAAGAAGAGTTGTCCGAAGGGTGCGTATCACTCGGAATCTGTATCTTGCTGTGGTCTGATGTCCGCTTCACAACTGACATAGTTATGGGCTAAAACCAAAGCATAATACCGTTGAGATGACCGTTGCGCAGATGAGACAGCGATTTGACGAGGATGATGAGAACATGGTGACCTTCACTGGGCATTGTGCGGTTGATATATATATATACATATATATATATATATACATATATATATATATATATGCCATTGTTCTAATTTAATTACTTATTGTGTCTGGACTGGTTAAAAACTGAGGAAACTGAATAGGACCTAGAACATGACTATTTTTGGGTCTCGTAGCTATTGACACACCGGTTTAGTTTGGTTGATGTACTTCGGATAATTTGCCTATACCTCTTCCGCTTTCTTTTTAACAGTTGCAGAAAAAAATCAACACGTTTGAAATCAGTTGGGGTCTGGGTGCTCTGTTTGCCGAACTCAGTGCGGCAAAACGACCTTGAATTGAACGACTCTCACCCGCCTACCCTCACTCGGCACAATTCACCCGTTAACACATCGCGTGAAGCAGTTCCACAGTTCAACGCTACGGTTGACCCGTATGAGACCAACCTGTAGACAACTGTCACACATACTTTACTTCCAGTTATCGTATGTTAGCAGCTCTTTTTGTTTCCGGCCTAACTTATTTGAAGGAATAAACTGTGATGCCCAAATTGCCATCAATTGTCTCTTATCTCGGGATATCTATGCCCCTCTCCCTCCCCCTCCCCCTTCGCCGCCGACTCCCTCATCTGCGCTTCCTGAGAGCCCGCGACCCTCGGATCTGTCTTCTGACTTCTCTTCTTACTGGTCCTCAGACACACGCTCCTCACGAGACAGCAGGTCCACACCGACCTGGTTCAGGATGAGGGTGTGTATGTGTATGTGCGTTTCTTACATACACGTTTGATTTGGTGCGTATGTGTATATGTTTCCCAGACAAATATTTCACGTGCTTTCAAATAAATGAACATTTCGGTGTCTTAGTTTACTGGTTTTTTCTCTCCCTGTCCTGCGATACGCGGCAGGGTTTACGAAATATGGAAAGCGGATTGCGTTTTTTAACCGATTGGGTACCACTAGTCCTTCTTCGAGCCCTCAGTAGAAATGCTACTTGCTGGAAACCAGGTAGTGCTGGTGGTTCATCACGACGAGACTGTACCTTGACGTGGTGTGATGGCTTGTGCACCTCTCTGACCCAACGAGCTATACGGGATGGCTTTTGTCAAGCCGCAGATCTACTCACGCCTGGAAGTTCAATGAGTAGAGGTCAGATGAAGTCCAGTCTCCTGGTTCTCCAGGCTGGGGGGTTCAACTTGAGTTAGCGTCTCATTCGGTAAAATGGTAGAGGAGTAATTGATCCAAGTAAATGGGCCTCCACTTCGCTTTACCCGCTGCCTTGCGGTCAGGTTCTTGTCAGAACTAAAGGCTTTGGACGAGAACCCTAATCTTTTTCCCGCTTAGTGGCTGGACACTCTGGCAGTACCCGTCCATCAAACTCAAATGCATTCACAACCAAAAAATAATTCCATATTGCATCGGTCGTCGCGCAGGATAATCAGAACCGCGCTGCTCATTGCATCGAGCGGAGTGGGTAGTGATAAGTGGACTACTGCGCAGACATACCAACCTTTAACCCTGTCTTCCGTACCCAACTCTCTCCTTTTATCCTTTCTTCCAACCCGTAACATTCCCTCAGACAACTTGTTTTCCACTCGCCAAAGGTCATTGCCAAACAGCACTGT